GTAATAAGAAGGGTATAGGACCTAAAGGAATTATAAACTTTATCAAAAGTTAACTAATAAGATTTGATAAAAGAGATTTACTGGAAACCTTCAAATTAAAAAGATGAAATACTTCCCATATTACAAATGCAACGATAATGCAATGATACTCTCAAATCTCAATTGTATCATTCTGGAACTATACAAATCATTTTTTAAAGTTCTTACGGAAGAATACATACATTTTGAAAAAGAGAAATAGTGAAAGGGACCTTTCCAAATTACATTTAAAATCAAATATAAAACAGTTTGGCAGTAACACAAGAATGGACAAATTGGTCAGTGTGGAAAAAAAGAGAATAGAAATTCAAAAATATACATACATGTATAAATTTATACATATATGCATATATGTAAATGTTTAGATAATCTGTTCTGTTCCACTGACTCTTGTCCATTCGTGTGCCCATTCAGGTACATATATAACATGATAATGGTGGTCAGTACATTCTCAATGGCAACAGAGAGGGTGGGTTATTTAGTACATGAAACTGGCATAACTGATGGTTCATGTCTAGAGGAAAACAAAATTAGATCCTCATTTCAAATATACAAAATACATCTATCAAAAATTAATTTTGGCCATGTTAAAGACCTAACTTAAGTAAAATAAAACTTTAAATATTAGAAAAAGATTGAAGATGATTTGTGCAACCTGAAAGGGAGGCTGGAGTGGGAGAAGCAGCAGGAAATAAGACAGGAATAAGACAGGAAACTCAAAGACGAACAGTAAGATGAAAGACAAACCCAAAAGTCTGTCAATACCTCCCCACCCACAGCCCGTATTTCCAGAGGCTCTAAGTGTCTGATAAATAGTGCTGCTGTTTGTTCACATTTTGAGGAATACTAGTACTGTTTTCTCAGCAGTACTTTGAGAATCACCCCTCCATAGCCTAGCACAGGTTGATCTACACTACATGCTGTGAATGGCTTCAATAAATATCTCTTGAATGATACTGCAACTGCAGGAACCTGATCATCTTGCTCTTCAAATTGAGCCCCCAGAGTTTCTCTCTAACCTGCCAATAATGGGTTGGGGGTTGTTTTCAAGGTTTGTAGGGACCACCTAACACAGACAGAATTGTCTATGGCCTCCCCCTGAAAATGTTGAGGACCTCAAGACAAGTGACATCATCTTTCCACTCAGGATTATGTAACTGTCCCCTTGTCCTGATAAAGTCCCAAAAGCATTGAGTAAATGTCACCTATTAGGGGATTTATTAACACTAAGAGACATTATTCAGGAGAAGCAGTTGGGAAATAATTGCTTACTTTTTCTTTTAGGTCTCTGACATGAGTTGATGTATAGTCCTTCTAAGTATACTACTTAAATGATTATATGTCCCAAATTGTATTTTTGAAGATATTAGTCCAGTTTATGAACAAACTATTGATAAAAGACTGATGACTGAATTTTAAGTATTCATTTACAAACTCAGTTATAAATTAACTTATAAGCATTTACAAATTCCTTTCACTTACACATCTACACACAGCAAATACTTATTTTCAGATTCTCACCATTTCTTTGGTCTGGTGCACTGAAACAGTATCTCCCAAAAGTTTAGCCTTACCCTTTAGGAGGAGGCATTTACTCCCATGTTATTAAAGGGAATGGATGGTTGAACTCAGAGAGTTGGCAAGTTTATGCAATGTTACATAGAAAAAAATTTCCCTGGACCTGCATCTCATATCTGCTTGTTCAAGGTATCTTACAGAGTAGACTTTGATCTATGATAACTACCTTTCCTGGCATACATCGGACCACCTATACTTTCAATTAGTTAAGCTATCATATTTTATTGAATGCCTACTGTATGACTGGGATAATTGGTTGTTTTTATTTTAGGTATTGACAACAAACAACAATGGGAAACCTCAGACTACTGGAAGCCTATGTGTTATTTCCAATAGACTTGGCAAGAAAAGAAATTTTTCACTACTGCTTGGCTCAGGTAACTGGATGGACTACTGGCTAAGTCAACGTGGATTGTCGGAGCCTGCCGACAATCGATCAGGTCCAGAAACCTGTGCTGCAGGACTGAGAAAAGAAAGACAAGACTAAAAGGTAGGGTTGAGAGGGTCTCACTCTAGCCCGCAAGACGCTAGGTCAAGAGTGGACGACGAGTTTATTTCTTGCAGTTAATTTATATGATTTTAACCCATTAGCTCATACATTCCTGCACGTAGGCAAAGGTATTGTTTTAAGGCACATTAACAACGTGTACTAAAATCATTAACTTGTATATTGTTACAGACATCATTATTATTTACAGTTCTCAATAAACTAAGATTAACTGTTCCTGAAACCAAGATCATAAACTAGGGTATTGTTCCTCTAAGCTAACATCGTGACTTGTGTACTATTATCTCAGGTGATTGTTCTTCAGGCTAAGATCACTAACTTGCGTGCCGATTGTATCTCTCCTTCCAAAGGTCCTTAGTGACTTAATAGCTCAGGATGTTCCTTCAGGCCTTAATGCACCTGGCACATTCCTCAAAGGGGTGGCGGGACAGAGATTGTCCTTGAGAGATCAACCTCAGAGCCTGACGCCCTGCACTGTGGGAGTTTAGGCCCAACCTCTGTGCTCGGCAGTCCTCAGGTCATGAGTGGCCCCCCGCAGTGGATACAGAATTATTAAGAAATAATACTATAAGGGACTAGGTCTTGGGGGATCAACTCTGGAAAGAATCTGATCTTAGAAGAATGTTCCAGTACCTAACTGAAAAGCTGTAGCCTTGGGAAAAGAGATGCTGAGAGGTTTATGCCATGTTTTCCATTTAACCCCTGAAACCCACAGTGGGCACAAATGCACAGCAGGCCGGACTTATCCTAATTAATGACACAGCTCTAAGGATCACTGTCTTCTCCATGAACTATAGGACTCTGCTTTCATTAGAATGGAAAATGGAGTTATCATGCAACATGTTAATTTTAGTAAATGAGCACCGTTAAGTGAGTCCAAATTCCTACTTGATTTCTTCAGTTTGTTACTAACTGAAAGACTGAGCATATCCTGAATTGACTGTCACGGGGAACACCTATTCCTCCAAGAAGTTTACAAAGGTGCCCATTGACTGTGCTAAGATGGCAGAAAACCCCCTAAGGTCTATAACTAGTTCATTGGTCTGACTTATCCATTATAAAAAGTGATTTTTTTTTTCCTGGAACATGGCACTTCTTTGCATCTTAAAAAAATTATGGGGTATTTCTTTTTTTTTTCCTTAAGCGTGGGCTCAGTCTTTCTTATAACGGACTACATGGATAAGTCATATGTGGGTGTACACTGACAATTGCACATTCTTGTAAGTTTTTGTATATATTTAAATAATATGACTTAATTGGTAAATTTCCTATGCCATTTTTGAAACTGTATTACTTACATTAGAGATCACAAGGGAGTAACTGGCTTAGTAACCAGTTTATCACATTAAAATGTATTTTTAATGTATGCTAATTTCAAAAGGCTCATAGGAGAGTCAGCATGCTTTAGTGGTCTGCATAAAGTGTTGGGGAAAACGGATCGGGAATGACTTTCAGATCTCTGGGCAGGCATGCTCTGCCTAACTGGCTCTGTGTTTCCTCATTTATAAAAGTGCAGCTAATACTTGTCTTTTGTACCAAAAAAAGTTATTTAGATTAACTGATAAGATAGTTGTGCCTAGCAATGTTAATTATAACATTATTATTCACCTTCAGAGTCTTAAAAAAAGGAAGAAAAAACCTTCTTAGAACATAATTGACTCAGTATATAAGATTTAAACATTTTTTAGTAATATCTGGCATAGCAGACATATTCTGAACTAAAATATCAGGATACTAATCTCAGAAGTAACCAAAGTTACCTAGAACCCATTTGTTACTGACAGCTGCTGTTGGGAGGGGCCTGAGGATAAATTTTTTACACAGGAAAAGCACTGGAGGTCCAAGGAGGTTAAATAATTTTCCTAAAGACAAGTTGACGAAGAGCAACTAAACCATAACCGGAAGGTCGAATTTCAAGGCATTCCTCCTTTGTCCCATCTCCTACCATGTGTTTATTTATTTAGGGAGATGGTAAGATAATAAGGGAAACACCAAGCCCTGGCCTTCAAATATTAATTAATCCACTACCAATGAAGAGTTATTATTCCATGACACCTTTTGAGCAATGGGAACTGTGATCATCTGAAAAGAATTAGTAGTGATTTCCAAAAGGCATGGGCCCATTTTACATTTCTAAAATTCCCTTTTAAATGCAGAGAATCTATTAGGCAAGGAACCGTCCAATAAAGGAATTTCTACAGTTTATACAGTCTGGTCGGGCGCGGCCGGCCGCAGGGATAAGGGGGCGCGGGGCGGTGGCTCCCGGACCCACTCTCACTTCCTCCGGAGCCGGCGCCGCCCCGGACCCGCTCCCAAGCCCGCAGCCCCTCAGGGCCGAGCACCTAACCCGGGCGAGGGCGCCTCCCCGGGACGGGCTTCGGCCGCGGGCCCCGCGGGCAGGGGGCGGCCGCTCGGGGGTCGCGGGTACCGGGCAGGGGCGGCGTACCTCTGACTCGGGCGTGGTTCCCACTGGAGTCAACCCCGTAGGGGTCGTCCCCCCGGGAGTTGTCCCCAGAGACGTCGCCATGTTCCCGCCGGAGCGAAGCGCCCCCTCGTCACCTAGCAACCGGGGCGGGGCCAGGGTCGCCTGGCCGGGGAACTGAGCCTCACGCAGAGCGGCTTCCGGTCGGGAGCCTGCTCCCGCCTGGGAAAGGGCTCGAACCCGGCAGCGGGAGCAGGAGGGTTGGCCCCGCCGCTGCGGGGCGCTCTCCCCTGGAGGCCCGCGGCTGGGCTTTGGATCATCGAGTAGAAACAGACTCCTTCCTTTTAGTAAGAATGAAAAAAAGGAAAGAAAAAAAAAAAGAAGCTATTTAAACTAACTGGTATACGTGTAAGTGTCTAATGCTAATACAGAGCAAGTTCTCAATAAGTTTTAAAGTGAGATGTATTATTGGAATCGACTGTTGATTGATATTTGATATTAAGGAATTGTAACTTTAAGGTGTTAATGGTGTTACTGTCATGTTTAGAAAGGGAAAATGTCCTTATCTTCTAGAGATAACATACTGAACGATTTAGAGCTGCTGAAATGATAAAATGCCTGCGATTTACTCCAAAATAACGAGGGGCGGGGCATGGATAATGAGTGGGGATACAGTAGAAGAATCAAGATTGAGTACATGAGGAGTGGTTATTATACTACTCTTTATATTTTATATATGTTTTGAGTTTTTCCCTAATAAAAACATTGGAAAACAAAATTAAAACCGAATATTCTCAGAATGATAATACCTGCTTTGACAATGAAACGCGCTTTTCTTGTATAATCTGCGTAGGGGTTGCTATGCAGGAGGCTTTCCGCACAAAACTGTCTGCCTCATAGCTTTACTGTAAGGATTTAACATCTTAGTATATGGGAATGTCTAGAATAGTGTATGGTACCTGTAGTTAGATGCTGTTAGGATTAGTATTAGTTTGTATCTTTCTCCTGACTTTAGTCCATCCTGTACAAGTTACCAAAATAGTATTTCCATCATGGACCTCTTATTATATTTGCCCGCTGCCTTTCAGACCAAATTGAACACTTTGGCTTCATAGAATAACTTCATGATAATTGTGCCTTTCCTTGGCTTATCGTTAAGATTATGCACACAATTTGTATTGTCAACTTGTATTGATGAATTGTCTTTACTTTTGTATATGTTTGGTCAGTCTTTTCAGTGGATTGTAGAGTCCTCCTTTCTTTGATATTTTCACCTAAAGAAACTGGTTTCATTTTTGGTACAGAATATTCACTCAACAAAGAGTTTATGATTTCCAACCCCACTTTAAAAGGACTATGTTATAACTTCCTCAATTAGTGAAAATATAATAAATTTTTAGTGATTTCCAAAGTTAATGCAAGAGCTACCACCTTACAAACTCATTTCAGTGCTTATTTATTTCCTTCTGATGGTTCCTTCAAAGAAATTGAAAACAATGGGTCACTTTCTTTAAATTTAGCCTTTGGTAAATTGCTAAAGCATTTATTTCCCTAAACTGTAGCTCTAGTTTTCTCAAAGATCTGATTTATTCTTCTGGCCTTTAATTGTCCTGCCATTTCTTTGACAGTTCTACATTTTCTGCACCCCTTTTCCATTTTGGATCCCAGAACCAGATAGAGGTCTCTATTAAAGACGGAATCAGTTCTAGCAGGCCAGAGGGCTACCTCAGGGAGGAGGTAACTGTTTTGTAGGAATTTCAGTTTTACTGTATTTAATGTTGTAATTTGTTGGAGAAGTTAGTTTTGAGGAGATAATTTTATGGGGCACAGTTTTTTTGCTCATTAAGGAGTGGTGTTGAAAACCCATTAGCCTGAAGGTTACTTTTAATTTGCACAAGTGAAGCTGATTTTAGTCTCTCACTTCTTTTGTAGGGAGGTGCCAACAAGAAAGACAAATCTCAGTGGGTGACATGCTTTCTTACATGAAAGGTCAGTGAAGTCTTCCTTCTCAAGTCTCTTTTGAAGATAAAGGCTTCTAACCAAAGCCTGCAAAATTCCATTTGTTATCTTGGTTTGTTTTAGGGCTGGTGGAGAAAAGGAAACATATGGGTCTTGTAGTTTACAATTACTTCTTTTAAAAGACCTCTGACTTTTAGCACATCACAGTGAAATATGGGGTAGCTTGATACTATTATTTGCTCGACTGGATTGGCCCCTGTCCTAATGGAAGTACTCCAGTCTACACACCTACGAGTAGCAGATTCTGGAAATGGAATCAGATTTTCTTCAAGAGGGACGTTTTCATAATTTTACCTATTGAAGTATTGGATGTTTAAAATAAACCACACCAAAGGTATGTTTAGAAAGGGCTAGATCATTTTATGATCAGTACTGACGTTCTAAGGTGGCAATGTAAGGCAGTGGACACTGACAGTAAGATTTCAGCTGTCTTCTTAGGGTGAGGAAGTATTTCTACTCCACTTCTCATGATTCATGTGTTACTGAGTCTTATTTTAAGTATGAAAGAAGTTCTTTAACAATAAATGAAATAATGTCACCAATGAGGTGAATAACATATTTGTAATACTAACACTGATTCCTGAGGTCTTCAATCTATTAAGTGACACTTGTGTTAGTCTTAAGAGGCTCAGGCTGCAAAGATTCCAGTTTGTCCTTTAGTTAGTTCTGAGAGACCACAAAGTTCTGGAGATGGAATTTAGATAACTTATTGTATATTAGCCTTAAATTACCTTTAATTATTAGATATAGAAAGAAAAAATATAAACATTTTAATTTGTGAATAATTGCTTTCACTCTTTGTTACATATTTAATTTTTCACAAAGAAACTATTCCAGTAGCTAATCAATTTTGAAATATATTTAGTTTTCTTAACCTTTACCTAATCCCCAAATCTGGTCTCCTTTCAACAAGTGCTTTAAGTCATAGGTGAGAACATTTAAAAATCTGACCTTAATAAAACACTTTTAAAAGATGGCATAGTAAACTTACTGCAGTAGAAAGCATTCTACAACTAATTATTATTGGCGGGGGGAGGGGACTGTAATTATTTCCAAGAAACAGTTGTACAATTTTGACATTGTTCATATAATACTGCACTTGTCTTCAAAATTCTATACTCTCCCATTGTGGCATATCTGTTATTTTTTCTTTCTCCAGTTATTCCCTTTCCAGTGGATCCTCACGCTCTGCAGATGAAAATTCTGTCCTTTTTCCAAATCAGAAAATACTCTTCCTCATACAGATATCTCATTAAGATAGTTTTGTAACTTGTTCCTTTTCTTCCTGATCAACTTTTTTAAAAAAGGTATTCTTACTCATCATCTCTCCTTAACCACTCCATGCCCTGTAATCAGTCTCTCAGCTCCTTTGCTCTCCTACAGCTGTCCTCTCAAGGGCTGCCCCTGAGTCCCGTCTTCCTTGGTGCGTGGACATTCTCTGTTTGCCCCTCGTATCCACTGTCTGCCTTCTCCACATGGCCTTGTGCCCTGGCAGGCTGACTCATTACTAGATTTCACCATGTTTCTCGCCTTCAGACTTGTGGTTGGGTTTGGCCAATGGAAACACCAGCAGGAGGAGAATGAGGTCAGGGTCATTTATTCTCCTGTTTCCTCGCTGCAGAATTACAGGGTGGGAGCAGCTGGGTTCCTACACCAAAGGCCTTGATGCCTACAGCCTGTCCCTCAGCGCCTGCATCTCCCCTCAGGCCTGTGGTGCCCTCCGAAGCCTCAGGATGCTTCGCCATCCCCTGTTGCTTTCCCTGATGTCTGCTCACATATTTATACCTAGTTCCTTTACCAAAGTTTCCTCAGTTCCCACCTTCGTGTCATCTGTTTCCTGTTGGTACCTTGACTGACATCATTTAACAAACATTTAACAAGGAAGCCCAAGTCTGGCTTGTTCAACACCATTGCCATCCACCACTTAGTTGTGCAGTGAGCAGTACTGTTTGTAAGTGACCTTAAACAGTGATCTAGGTAGGACTGTATCCCACCCCCACCCATTCTCCACCTGGAGGGGCGGCACCTCGGGTCTGATGGCAGGCAGGGGGGATTGTAACTACCTACAGGAGCTGTGCTGTCCATGTCCTGGGCAGCTGCCTGTCCTAGGCTTGGTAAGACTTCTTTACAACCTGCCCCTATCAAAGGCAAAATAACAGATCACCTGGGCCCTGGCATCCGTCTCCATGGATAAAGAGGGTGGGAGGTCTGAAGGAGGACCAGTGCCTTCCTCTTCTCTTCTTGCTGATCCCGGCCTTGACGGTTTGACCTTTCCTGATAAAATCTCCCCTATGCCTTGTGATGTTGTGGAATTTACCTGGCAACCAGGAGGGACACACCTGGGAGGGGAGTATGCTGGTGAGAATGCACGTCTTTCACAGATTCACTTGCCCCAGAGCATTTAGGTTTATAATCTGTATTTGCATACAGGTTTCATTAATTATTTTTATTTACAAATTGTTCTTTATTGGAGTATTTATGTTAATATTTTTACTCCTTTTACACCTCAGTGGACTACTTTGGAGTCATCAGTCCATATTTGGGGACTGGTAGTTTAATGTAAACAACAAATTAATAAACCCGAGCAATGATACACATATTAAGTGAAAATGCTTCAGCTGACAAAAAACTGCACCCTGTTTCCAGACTGTTAGTCCAGGTGGACTGACCCAAATTCCTGAGGTGCAAGCAGAATCTTTAAACACCTGATTTGAGTTAGCCATAAAGAATTTTTGTAAAAATCAAAATTCATCCCAAATTTCACATTTGTGAAATAGGAATGATCAAAACAATTTCATTGATTTTTTTTCCTTCTAAAACTGCCTAAAAGTGACTGGGTTCCTCTTAATTAATGGCAGGGGGCTGCATTGCTCTTTGAAAATATTTTTGAGAAAACTTATCCTGGGGGATTCTGGGAAGCGCCTTGACTGAGCAAACATTGCCCCCTTCTCTGTACTACCTCCCACCCCACTCCACTTTTAAATATAGCAAGACTAATTTTACCTGCTTTACATAATAGCTTTCTTGTGAATTTTGTTAGAAGGATGGATTTTGAGCTTTAAAAATTGGAAAGTCATTAGGTAATCTCTAAGGAAACTTCATCTCTGAAAATTCTGTTATGAAATAATTTCCCAAAGCATTCATTGTCTGAAATGTTCACTCTGGCAAATACACAGTATTACTGTTATTAAACATCGTTGTTGTGTGTGCATGTTTATGATTCTAGGGAAGGAAAATAACATACATTATCTCATTTAATCATCAAAATCCACTGTCACGGTATTCCACACAGAATTGCTTTTGGTTGAGGAACTTACTTCATAGCAAAGGAAATGCAGCAGAAGGCCCGTGCTCATGGATTCACTGGTCTTACCATACTCCTTCCTTGTCCTGAAGTAGCTGGCTTGATGGAACAGTGGAATGGCCTCTTAAAGACTCAGTTACAGTGCCAGCTAGATGACACTACCTTGCAGGGCTGGGGCAAGGTTACCCAGAAGGTTGTACCCGCTCTGAATCAGCATCCAGTATATGGTGCTATTTCTCCCACAGCCAGGATTCATTGGGCCAGGAATCAAGGAGTGGATATGGCAGTGGCACACCTATTACTACCCTAGTGACCCCCTAGCAAAATTTTGCTTCCTGTTCCCATGTCCTTATGCCCTGTTAGCTTAGAGGTCTTAGTTCCAGAGGGAGGAGTGCTGCTACCAGGAGACACAACAATGATCCAAGTGAACTGGGTGTTCAAGATTGCCACCTAGCCACTTCGAACCCCATACCCCTAAATCAACAGGCAAAGAAAGGAGTTATGGTGTTGGCTGGGGTGATTGATCCTGACTACCAAGGGGAAATTGGGCTACTGCTCCACGATGGAGGTAAAGAAGAGTGTGACTGGTACATAGGAGATCCCTTAGGGTCTCTGTCAGTATTACCATGCTTTGTGATAAGGTCAATAGAAAACTACAGAAGCCCAATTCAGGCAGGACTACTAATGGCAGATTCTTCAGGAATGAAGGTTTAGGTGACCCTGCTGGGTAAAAACCCATGACTAGCTGAGGTGCTTGCTGAAGGCAAAGCGAATACATAATGGTTAGTGGAAGAAGACATAAATACCACCATCACTGACCATTTACCGAAACCACAACTATAATAGTCATGAGTATTTTCTCCTTGTCCTGTTATGATTATGTGTGTGTATTCTTTCCTTCCTTATTCCCTTATGTAACGTAAGCTATATTGACTTTATATCACAGTATTTATGTGTTTTTAATTTTACATCATTGTATTTGAGTTATAGGAGATCAAGGAGAAGACTAAACAGAAAAAATAAAAAACAAAAACTCTCTCCTCAAAAACTCCACTCTAATATGGTAGTAAACCTAGATTCCATTTCAAGATATAAGAACTCACTAATTAGCATTTTGGAAGGCTTTTGGTCTATGCAAATCTCAGAACTTAAGATCTGCAAAGAGCTTGATGTTGTATGTGATGCTTCTTTAACTGGAAATCATATCCCACTGATTGATGATTAATAGTTTTTTAGGAAGTGGTAAGAGCTAAGGAAAAAAATAGAGCAGCTTGAAGGGGGATCAGAAGTGTGGAGTTGGGAGACTCTGTGCATGTCGAAGTTTTAAGTAAGATGGTCAGGACAGGCCTTGGAAAAAAGATGACAATTTAGCAAGCTTATCATCACCATTGTCATAACTAGCATTCTGGCTAACTGCTTTATGTGCGTTATCTTATTTAAATTTCATAACAGACATGTTCACTGAAGCTGATAGAAGTTAATTATTTACCCTGTATAACACAGCTATGTAGTGGAGGCTATAGAATTTAAATTCAGGACTGTCTGATTAAGGGCCCAAGTTGTGCCAGACTCTACTGTGTCTCAGAGCAGTGGTTTACTAACTGTGTTCGGAGGTTGCAGCGAAATTTGATTTGACATTAGTTTTTTGAAACATCTATCATTAGCC